AAATAAAAGCTCTCGTGATTCGTCAAAAAATGTGAAGAGTAGTGAGCAAATTCAGAGCGACAACGGTAATGTAAACAAGGGTTCAGTTGACGGTCGCCATCTTGGAAAAGCAAACTTGAACTCGTTCGTGGACCAGGCAACAAGTACACCAATTGCACATCGTAAAACCATGGAAATGTCTGAATTTGAAGTTATAATTGAATGTATAGAAGATAAATACATCAATATAGAGAATAAATATCAGGATTTAGAAAAGAAAGCAAACATTCTTCTGAAACTACAAAACATCGCTGCAGAAAAAGAGAAACGGATGTCTGCAGAGATAAACGCTCTCAAGGATAACAATGCCGCCATGTCCATTGAGATTAAAGAATTGAGACAGCAGTTGATTGACATCAATGAGACATGGAGAGGAAATCTCATAGCTGCTCAAACTGGAATGGAGATTGAAACGAAAAATAGACAAACGGCTATTTCTAAAGAGATAAAACGAGATTTACAAGGAATAAGAATGGAGATAAAGGACATTCAAGCTTTGCCGCTTGCAACTGAAAATCGATTTGCCTGAAAACAGTACGGCCTTGAAGACAACACCAGTGATAGTAAAGTGAACACTGGAAGAAAACAGTCATCAGTGGAATGTCCCCCAGCAGACAGAGGAAACTGATAAAGCAGACAGCAGCAACAAAGTTACTCAATGCCAAATATGATTTAAGAAATGTTGATATTCTTATCATAGGTGACTCTATAACTAAACATATTAACCCAGAAATATTGTACAGAAATCAAAGAACAAAGAAAATTCAAACATCAACAACTACAGAAACAATGTCATACATAGCTAATGTAAGAAATCAAGATAGTGTAAACCTTGTAATAACACATGTGGGTACAAATTACTTGGTTAACAATGATCATCAAAGAGTTAGTAATGAAATGGATAACATGATTGACAGCTTCAAGAGAAGGTTCTCAAATGCAAGACTTGCAGTGTCAAGTATATTACCAAGACATGGTGCTAACAGAGAGAAAATAAATTCAGCAATAGATGAAGTAAACCAAAGAACCAAACTCAAATGTAATGAAACTAAGAACTGTATCTATATCGAGCACAGAAAACTAAGCAAAGTTGGAGATCTGTTTACTGATGATGGAGTACATATAAAGAAGAGTGGTACCAGTCTGCTTGTAGCAGATATTAAACGTACCATTAATAGAAACTTAAATAACAAAGATCACAGATATTCAAATCAGCTAAACTACCGTAAACACAATGATCATCAAAGACAAGATTATGATCCAAGTAATCAACGTAGGGGATATAATCTTGATGGTTATTCATACAATAGTACACAGGCCCACAAACGTAGCAATACAACTGAAAGGCTACCCTTACTGGAGAAATTATTCCTACAATCAAGACAGCTACGACAAATACCATAGCCGACATCACCAGAATCTCAGGAATTATGATGACAGGA